CACCACCATGGGGTTAATAGCCACCGCCATGGGGCTAATAGCCACCGCCATGGGGTTAATAGCCACCGTTGTTGGGTTAAACGACCACTGGCTGCTGCTGGATCCACCACTTCATCCACCCAGGAAAGATCCTCTCTCCACGAACGGGACAGAGATCCACCAATTTACCATCAGTGGATCCCCAGCTTCCTGACTGGTAGCCAGTTGAGCCCTGCCTTCCATTCAATCATCCCAGTGCTGCTTCAGGAGAAGCTCTCCCAGCTGAGTGCGGCTGACTCCACCTGCAGGTGGATTACAGACTTCCTGTCTGACAGGAAGCAGCACCTGAAGCTGGGAAAAACATTTCTCAGACTCGCAGCTCATCAGCTCTGGTTCCTCCCCAGGGTTGTGTTCTTTCTCCTCTGCTCTTCATCAGAGGCAGCGTAGAGCAGAGCCTCCCAAAGTGGGGTCAGGTGACACCAAGAGGGGGGGTCAGGAGATGGTTCTCACAATCATCATGATGGGTGTATGGGGGCCACAATACATCATGAAACAACCAGACGTAACATTTCCATATCATTCTAATACATCAGTGGTTCCTGACATTTCCTGGCTGGGAAAAGAAAACGACTTTGCTTTGTTCTGATAATGATTTAACAGTTTAACAGTAGTTCAGTATCAACCTTCACTTCCCAGGAATGAAGGTCATAGAGGGGAGCGATCCTCTGCTCTGCCATGTAGCTCCATGTTTTTAGAGGGTGACCCCAGGTTGGAGCTGGGAGGAGTGCATCACATTCCCAAAGCCTGGGATTCTGGACCGAAGCCAAACACATCATGACTTTCTGCAGCCTCTCATCTACTTTTTATGTTTCTATATCGCTTCCAATGGAAGAGGAGAGCAGGACCAGAAGCTCTGTGACAGACTATGTTCTGGAAAACCGTGGGAACTCTGCCCCTGGAGCCATAGGAGAAAAACCTGATGATGCTGATAACACATCAAACCACCAGTGGGTTGCCCGTGGGTTTCAGTGGGTGTTTTTTTACCCTGTTTCTAGGAGGAGGAGCTGAGGGGGGGAGGCGTTATGGACAGGAACGATTAGATCAGAGCGTTCAATCTTGGGAGTCACAGAGAGCCGAGGGCATCGCTGGGTTAACTAATTAGAACGCTTTCTGTTAGCGTGGAGGAGGGAGCGGTCTACTTCCTGGATTTGGTTTGGTGCGCGTCCCTCCAGGGCTGCTGTGGGAAGTAGTCTGAGATCGTTTACCCAGACTGTCAGGGACAGCAGCCGCTCTGCCTCCAGCTCTTTTTCTTTCAAACACTTCATTAACAATTAAACGCTCCTTCCTTTTTTCTTGTGCTCCCAAAGCACTGCTGGATTTCTGCCGATATTTGGCACAGAGCGACTGAAAATCGTCCCTCTGGAATCACCCTATGACAGCAGCCCAATGAACGACACTGATATAAAGATGCTCTGAAGAGCATCATTTACATTTTTTATGTAAAATTTGTAGAAAAGAAAATTATCATAACGTGAAAAACTTAAATATATGTAAACTTTACAATCTTACATTAACCCTTTAAGCCCAGAGGGCCTTAGGAGAAATACAGCCTGAAATTCCATCTGTGAATTAAATCAAGTTCAGATCCCAAACTATAAATTGGAAATAAAATTGTTTGTATTTTTGTGAAGAATTGTGGAATATTTTTTCCAGGTGGAACCAATATTTTAAATGTCAACATGTCTGATTTAGAGATGATTAAACAAAGAAAAAAATGGAATTTATTTAGCCTCGCCATATTTTGAATCCAGATTAATCACTGAAAAAAACACCATAAAGCCCATTAGAATCTCTGGCTGAACCCTCAGACTCTATAGATCCACATCTTGACTATAAATTAAGATAATCTGGACTGAATAAGTTGAAGCATTTTTGTTTTTTGATTTTCTCCTGTGGTGGTGAGAGGCTGACCCCCCCTGGTTACCCCCTGTACTCTACAAGACGAACAATCAGACTGAAGGTCGGCCCGATCAAATACTGCAAAAAATGGAAATCTAAATAAGTCATTTTTGCTCAAATTAAGTGCATTTTTAAGAAAACAACAATTGAATTGTCTTATTTCAAGTGCACATTATCTAATTATCTTATTTTAGGAGTAAAAATACTCATTCCATTGGCAGATCATCTTATTGACCGGCTCAAATTAAGGGTAAATACACTTAATTTAAGATATTTTTTTTTACTTATTTCTAGATGTTTTTTGCAGTGAAACATTCTCACACAGCTGGAAAGATTTGCTGATTATTTGACGATGATCCGCAAAAGATCAGAGATTATTTTGGCAGATGTGTTACTTTAACAGATGCTCTTATAAACAAAGTTTAGCGCGTCAGTGAGTTTAAACCGGCTCCTGCATCGCTGTTGTAAAATGTTGAAACAATAGTTCACCGACGCAGGTTTTTGACAGCGACAATGGCGTCGGATGCAGGACGGAGTTTAGCCTGTAGTTAGAGGGTTGTCGGTTTGAGCCCCAGCTGGTTTTCAGTGTTGTTGCGTCCTCAGACAAGAGACTTCACCTGCATTGCCTGTTGATGGTGGCGCCAGCGTACGGCAGCCTCGCTTCTGTCAGTGAGCCCCAGGGCAGCTGTGGCTACGATGTAGCTCACCACCATCAGTGTGTGCGTGTCTGACTGAATGTAGTCTAAAGTGCTTTGGTCAAGTCTCCTGACTTAACAAAAACTGTAAATGTGTGTAAACAATTTAATATGTTTTTGTAAATTGTACTTTCCCTGGCAAAATGTGATGATTTTTGTTTTTAGTTTTATGTTAAAACGCCAGCAATGTTGGATACTGCACAGTGTAATATTTTCGCAATGGAGACAAATGTTCGTGTATTTTTGTAAAGTGTGCAATTGTTGAATAAAATAAAATAAAAAAATAAATACATAAAAAAAAAAAGGAGAAGTACTAGAGAGGAAACCACAGAGCCACTATAGACCAGCTACAAAACACCCTTTAATGTCAATAAAACAACAAGTAAAATGTAAAAAAAAAAAAAGGAGAAGTACTAGAGAGGAAACCACAGAGCCACTATAGACCAGCTACAAAACACCCTTTAATGTCAATAAAACAACAAGTAAAATGTAAAAAAAAAAAAAGTCTCCTGACTTGAAAAAGGGCGGCCATTTTGCTGCTAGCGCTCGACGCTAG